TACGAAAGCAATGAGCTAATATCTAGCAGGAAATGACAAGGTCACTGCTAGTGGTATATTAACTTCCTCCAGCTAGCTCTTATTAGGTTATTATAAAGGTATTCTTTCTGATGGCTCTTATCCCAAACTAGGCTAGTTCAATGAATGACTTTCAGGAACACTATGTCCAAAGGAGGAATATGTTTACCTTGGTGTCCAAAAGGATGGAAGTCCATGAATGAAATACATGGGTTGTAATTATTTCAATTAAAAACATAAGGTTTTGTAATACTTGTGGCATAGTTTGAGGTTATTTTTGACTTGCTAATGTTTATGTTTTTGTTTTATAATGTATTTAAAATTGTGGGATCAGAATGTGTGCATAAGAGGTCCCGATAAGAAAGGCATCTTAGAAAATTGGAACGGAGGTAATTATTAGGCTTCTTAGAATCAGCTGCAATGAAAAGGGTTACATGTAGCTTTATGGCAATAATGAAATGACAGTAAATGTTGTCTAAGTCTTTAGATATACTGTAGAACAATGTAAAGACCAAAATGATTGGATAGTCCCATGCCAAACATATGGTAACTGTGGATTTATATATCAGCCTGCCAACCCCACACCTGCCCAACGCACAATACCATCAAGCCTCCTCTCACCTGGTGGTGAGTGGCCCATGAGGGTTCACCATTTGTAGAATGCCTGACCTTCACCAGCTTGATATTCAACAGCTTCTCTCAATTCAGCGGTGGATTTCTAGAGCACTCCTTAAGTTCCAATGAGCTGCTTAATTGCTTTTTTTTAACTAATGCTTTGCCAGACTAATGTTATTGAACCTGTACGTTTGCCATAGTGAAAATCTATAGTTTGTGGACTGTTAATTTGGTGACTTCGGCATGCAATTAATTGCACTTTTTTCAGGGTCTCAAAGAAAATGTAACAATGCTGTTGTATACTTTAAAGAAAAAAGCAATGATCAAAAACTACAAGAAGCACACACTACAAAAAAAAAAAAATAAAAAATCAGCAAATAGCAAAAATACCTTATGAAAGGCATTAGCGAGATATTGCTTGACTTTTTTTTTTTGAGTATGAAAAAACGTTTCTCCTCAATTAGTGTGATAATATTTCATTGATTTACCTAAGTGGGCTGACATTAAGTACCTCATATTTCATACAATCCATTAATAGGCAGTTTTTTTGCACACCACCTGTGTGAAAAGCATGTGGAAAATGTAGTTGCCCTGAGTTAAGAGAATCTCTTTTTTGCCTTTTCATAGTGACCTACTTTACAATAAATAGCAGATGCACATTTTTTTTTAATAAAAATAAACTTTATCAACACAAGCACATGTAATAGAATTTCAGCCCCGGTAGATCCATCCACAAATGGCTAAACCGACCAGAAGCAACCATTTCTGCTGAAGTAAAAAACAGAACTTCATCATATTTTAACAGAAGCTGATAACAACTCTTTCCCCAAAGAGTTTACAGTAAATATATAATACTGGCTGTTAATATACCTTTAAAACCATGAGCTGACATTAAAAAAAGTTTCTTATGAAACACAGTTGATAAATATACGTATTTGAGCAAAAGCTGAAGCTGAACTGAAACTTTTTCTTTCAGTAGACTAATGACTTATGATATATTTAATTACCGGTAAATTAAATATATTAAGTAGGGCTTCAAGTTAGGTAACATACTGTAATGTGCAGAATTTACATTCAACAGGATGCTGCAGGTATTTTGCATAGTAGAAAGATTTATAAGGCCAAATGTCTATTTTCTACAAAATAATTAGATGCAAACCGCTATATGAAAAAATGACTGAACGGTTGCATGCTTATTAGCTTTGCATACCAATGTCAAATCAACACTGCGGAACCATACTTTGTGCTGCTTCCTGGTGTACTCCAATTTCCTCCCAAGGTACAAAAGTTACCCAGGCCACCCAGGACAGAACTTACTTTTATTTTTATAATGGTGTGTATGGTGTATGGATGTATGAATCGATGGATGGATGGACGGACAGAGGGTTTTAATAAAATAGCCGAATATTAAGACGATCATATAAAGAAGTTGTGTGGTATCTAATTTTAAGAGCAACAGGAACCTGCTAGCATCAAAGCCATGTATAGTAAACCCTTTTCGTTGCTTGCTACTGACTGCAATATTTATAGACTAAGACAAATGTCACCATCACTCACATCCTGACTCACTTCTCTTTTGGTGTTAATTAAGCCATACTATAACAATGTAAAACAACAGTATTCTATTAAAGGGTTAAGAACTTTGTAATTATCTAGGGTCTTTTATAGGCAAAAAGGAATCCATCAGATCTGTATATTTTTTTTAAATTAATTATACAAGAGGTTTTGTACTCCTGTTATAAAGTTGAACAGGTGCAAAAGTTCAACAGTTGGAAAAAAAAGGACATTTTTCCTGTGCATAATATAAATCATTATTTAAACGTTCTGCTTTAAAACGTTCAAACAAATAAGATCACACGGTTGCTACAGAGGGGTGGCCTAAAGGAGGAAGCTACCAGTTCTGTGGTTATGCTGACATGAAATCACCTCCTGTTTCAAACAGAACACAGAAAGGCAACATGCAAAATGGTTCCTGTGAGGACCAAATGCAGCTCATTTCAATAACAACCTAAGCTATTTTGTCTACTTGCACGCTTATTGCTTTGTGGATGTTCTTTTTTTATGTTTATCACTTTGTTGGGATATAGATTAGGCACAACTTTTACAGTTTTGACTTTACCCTAAAGAGCAGGCGGCAACCAGATCTTCTTTGACCACAAAGTAAGTGTATTAAGTTTTGTCTCTTTGCTTGTTCATCATGGGGATGTGGCTTTGCGTTGATTATAAAACAACAAACATAACATTTTCTATAATATTCTTTGAAACAAAACCTATTTTTGTTATTGTAGCTAGTATTTATATGGTGTTTAGAACAATTTGGAGCTGATTTTATTCTTTTTTCGTCAAACTTATAAAGTCTGACAGTATGGTACCGACTTCTAATTACCGTTTGGATCGTTTTTTTCAGTCAAATACGACTGGATCTTGTTGTAAGTAGGGTTACAACCATCAGAGAATTTCTTTTTCAAAGGACTGAGTTATTCTCTAAGAGTTTTATATAAATTCAGTAAGCAGTATGTTGATAAACTGTAATAAGTGACACAAAAAGGAGAAAAAGTATTCAGGATCATGGCCATAAAAGATCCTCCTAAAATAAAACCTTATTCGCTTGTGAAATCATGAGATAAATCTACATCGTGGCTTTGTGTCCAAATGGGCAGAAATAAATCTGTTTGTGAAAATAGTGAAAAAGACCAGACAGTATATAGCACAAACATAACCAGGTAATTATATCAAAGTCAGAGTGTAAACTGAATCCTGGCGGAGAAAAATCCTTTAAACATCATGACTCAAAAACACAATCAAAATAATACAGACTTTTATAAACAGGGGTTAAAATATTGGTGCAGTAAACTAACTGAAATAAAAGCAAAAGAGCTGTTTAATTTGCAACCAATCACATTTCGCTGGCCTTCCTGTTATTTGACATAAGAGGCATTTGCATGGCTGATTGACTTCTATGCCTTTTTCCACAATTAAATCTGTAACACTGCCTTTTTTGACAACTCATCTTTCACTAAAGATTGATCTCCTGTCATGTTTTTCTTATCCTTCTCTCTTCAGGATGAATTCCACTGAGACCACGCAGCAACCATTAAACACCACAAACACCGCAAACACCAAAAACACGATGGATCCTCAGCAGTACCGCATTACCCTCCTGGTTATATATTCAGTCGTTCTGGTTTGTGGTTCAATCAGTCTGAGCTTGATGATGCACATCCTGAAGTCTAGTGCTGCTTCTGCAACCTCCATCACGGTGTTCAACTTAATTTTTGCCCATTTTATCTTCCTCCTGACCGTGCCATTTAGACTTTACTACTATGGAACCAATGAGTGGAATCTGGGTCTAAACTGGTGTAAAATGGTGAGCGGCATGATCCACATCCACATGTACATGTCTTTTTTGCTCTACATGATTATCCTCATTACCCGCTTATGGCCACACTACTGCAGGATGAGGCAGATGGACTCCTTAGGCCGAATGCAGGCGCTCATTGGCAGTGTGGTGATGTGGGTTGTTGTACTTGTTCTGATCCCTTGCATCGTCTTTTCTTTTTATGGCAACAAAGACAAAGACGAAACTTACAATACCACACGTTGCTTTGATTTTGCAGAAAGCATGAGCTCTACTAAAGAACTCAACTACATACTGAGCACACTGGTGATAGTGGTGGCTATTGTGCTGACAGCCCTTCAGGCCAACGTCCTTTACGTTTTATACAACAAGGATCGGCAAGGATGCACGTCGCAGCAAGACTTTGGGGCTCAACTGAAGAGCCTTTGTTTCACACTCATCATGCTGGTCTGCTTTGTCCCCTACCATATTTTCCGGCTGTATTACATTGAGCATACATATCTTCAAAATATCAATGAGGTCTTTCTGAGCCTGACCACTTTCAACTGTTTGGACATGCTGACTTTCCTGGGGAGGAGAACATTTCATATCTGTCTCAGAGGAAGGGGTGTTTAACCAAACTCTACAATAACTGTGAATGCGTTTACTGGTTACAAACATTTTAAGGAAGTCAATATTTGTTATCTCTATTTTTTTTTTCTCAGTTGATCTTAAATGATTTGGGATTTATTTTTAATAAACTTATGATTTTCTGTGCTGCTTCATTATATAACCTTCCACTGCCATCAAATACTATCATAGTTGTATTTATGAATAGCAGAAATGTATTCTCCTTTTTATTGCTCAGAATTAAACTCCAACTTGAACTTTCTTCAAAAAGAATCGACTCCTGCCATCTGCTGGTGTATGTCTGTACTACATATTGTTCATGCTTGGGACTGCAGTGTTATCCCAGACCACTAAAATTAGAAGTCCAGTCTTCATTTTTATATAAGAAAAATGTTTTAAAAGCTGTAATAACATTGATAAACACACAAGTATACATATCCCAGCACAAACCACACTTAAACAGAAGTATCACTGCAATTCAAAATTTAAAATTTAATCAGAGAATAAAAATGAATCCTTTACAGCTGTTAAACATAATCTTAAATTTCTTGGCTTATGTATTTGTGCATCTTTTGTGTAAGAGGGCCTTTTTTCATACACATATAGACTTACTCACAATCACCTGCTGATGTTTCTCCTCTCCAGTTTTTATGGACCTGGGTTACTGTTTAACATCCCCACCCTAGTTTGAGTTTGTTTAGTAAATCGATCTTATGACAGGGCTATGATGGCGCCATCCAATGTGTCGCTCCATGAATTATTGGCAGCTTAGCTCTCCAGCCTTCCCTTTTAATGTTTTCCAACACTTTACACTATTTTTAAACCCAGTGCTCCATAAGCCTGATGGCTCACTGAGTGCTGCTGCCTCTCACAGTACAGCTTTACCCTTGGATAAATGCACATACAAGACGGAAATAGTAAAACGGGTAAGTTATCCATTTTACATTTCTTAAATTTGTTTTATGTTTAAAACTCAGCATATTCATATTTCAGACGGACCGAATGAGATAAAAGTCTCACAGTAAACCTAAACCACAGTTTCTTGACATGTCCTCTTCTGCAATAAGTTCCTTAAATCATGTGGTTTTGTAATTCATAGAAAATGGTTCTAGACCTCGCTTGCATAAAGTGGTGGTGCTGCTTTAAATTATCTAGTGTAACATAGACATGCGAAAAGCAGATAAGAAAGACACACTTTGTCACGAATGCTGTGCTGTAAAGATCATGTGATAACCCATTTCACCTGAATGAGCCAAGGACATAAGCAGTAACAAGATATTGCTCTCTTCACACTGTGGTATCCCTTCTTTCATCTATCAGGGGATTTCAGAATCAACATGGTTTAATCATAAGTGAAATAATGGGATTTCTATAATCAGCACTTCATTTGTCCTAAAGTAACTTTTGTACTTTCAGTAACACACTGCTTTTGCTGCTGCCTGCACTGTGTGCTGTTTTAAATAAATTATAAATACATCTGGGCTGTTGTTGATTGACTCTTGCCATTGTAGTTATTAAGTTGGGCTATCTCACCAGTCTAATGACTTTGTTTGAAAAAAAAGCCAATTAAATGTCATTTTAACTTTGCATTTTGAAAAATGTGATTGAAGTTTGCTTTAAAAAATGTAAAGCGAACCTTATAATTACAACAATGATTTATTCAGTCTAAAACTTGTTTTGCTTAATATTTTAGACTGATTAGGTAATAATAAGGCAAAGGTTAGTTAATTATTTGAAGCTTTGTAGGCAATTACTTTTATGAGGAACTTTAACTCTTTCAGTAAGGTGGGGTTTTTGCAGCAGTGACTTGCTATTCATGTGTGTCTTCAGGTCTAGTTTAAATACAGGCGCTGATATTATGGCCATTTCACAGATAGATTACCTCTTAACCAAGGGTTTTATGGCAGGAGAGAGCTTTAGGTTGAAAGGCGGAAGCAGCATTTCTCATTTACTCCGTCTCCTGCTGCAAGAATTAAAAACAGCTTACAGGTGAAAGTAGATAACATCCTGCTGAAAAAGTCCCAGTCTAACATAAAAAAAGATTTGACTTTTACTTCTTCAGAACAGTTAGGATTACAAATGTGCTAATTGCTAATTTCCTAGATAATAACATAATGATTCATTAAAATAATTCTAGTAATTCAGGGTTTGCTTCTGCCTTTCCTTAGCTTTACGTAAAACTTTCATTAAAACTGTATAATCCTGTCAAACATTTTGGGTATTTCCCAAACTTCTTACACTAGTTTGCTGAAATATTTCTTTATTCTTTGCGGCAGAGCTGATGTAACTACATCAAGTTTTCTCACATCTTTTCAGCTTTTTTTTACCATTTATCTATGGAAATGAGATTAGGTTTTTTTTAGCTGGCCACGAAAAACCTTTCTCACCAAGGTGTAACTTCCTGGCTGTTTTTTTGAGATGTTGCTACAATATTGCAACATATAGTTGTTGCAGCCTCCTATTGCATAAAGAGAAGCACTTACAGTGGAACATTTTAGAGCAATTTAATGTCAGAGTGGGTGAAAAAAAATTTTCTTAGCAGTGTATTCAAGTATTCACACTCACATCTTGGTTTTATTTGAAATCGCTGTGTCAAGACGTATGCAACACAATTCAGTTTCAGGCTAACTTGATGAACAAGTGTGCCTGGCCAGGGCGTGCTACCAAGTTGATTATAACCAAATCTGTCTCCAAATCATACCTTCACATTACAGTGTTTTTTAATCATGTTATAACTGGCTTCTGATTAAAATACATGATAAAAATATTTACACAACTTACATTTTTCCATAGTTTGTTGCAATATAACTACAAACTTTGCAGCATATTGATTTTATAAACAAAAAGGAAAGCAGTACATTGAGCGGAAAATTATTCACAAATAAAAGCCCAAAGAATGTAGAATACATTTGTTACTATATTCCCCTTAAATAGGTTTTGCAACCACCTTTCTCTGAAGTTTTATTCTGCATATCTCTTTGAAAGCTTCACACCAAATTTTCTTCAGGTTATTTGCAAGGTAGTTCAAGCTATGTTCATGTTGAACAAATTTATTCTGTTGAAAAAATATTTAGGGTTTGCCAGGGCTTCTCAATTGGATTAATGTGTGGACTTAGACCGCAGCACAATAACACAGGGAAACACTTAGAAATAAATAAATCCATTGTGACTGATTCTGTGATCAGTCATTTATCCTTCTTTGGGGTTTCAGAATAATTGTATATTCATCTTCCTACCATCTCTACTAGTTTTCCTTTCCTGCTTCTCAAAAGTATTCCCATACTGTAACTTGTGCAGGTTGTTCAAAACTTCCTTTTCATTCTCATATAACCAAAGCACCATCTTCCATACAAGTTAATTCTGTCATTTGCAACATGCTATATAACTTGTCATAAGTAACTATACATCAGTTGCGCCATTTTTCAATTATAACCAGCGTTGTGGAATGCAAAAATAAAAGCAACAACCCAGCTATCCTCCAGAATGAATGGTGTTCTGTGAGATTTATCAGTGTTCAGGGTTTCTTATGTTAAACTTGCTTTTTAAGAAAAAAAAAAAAACTTTATCTCTTACCCAGCATTCGTGTTTCTCTGTCTGTATCTTGTTGTTTGTTTACTGATTTTTCTGAGAAACCTTTAAGGCCTTCCGTTGGGTTAATGTTACAACATACAGCTAATGCTGAAATGAAAAAGTGAGAAGTTAAAGGAGATTATTATTACTTATATCATGAGACAAAGTTACCAATTCCCTGACCCGTACTTATACCTTTTTTTTTTTCTTTTAAGTCGTTAACCAAGATGTGATAATGTTTATTCTTTGCTCATTATATTATCATCTCCCTTGCAAAAACACTACTTTGCTTTTTTTTCTTTTTCTGATGAACCAACTCATTACAAATGTAAAGCATCAAATCAGCCCTATAATCATCTTATCTGTTACAATCTTCTTTGTCACATTTTAAACTGATTGCCTCTAAAATGCTCCACCAAATTTAGTACTGTTGGAAGACAATGATGTAAAAGGCTGTGTGACTATGTTTAACTGGGTTTTGCCATGGGAGCTATTCAGTGTGTTTATTATGTCCCCGCCCTAAAAGAGGCAAACTAAGGGAGGGTCGTTCTACTCATGGTTTGCCCTTTTGAATTCATCTTCTTCTCTTCTTTAGTAAAAGAGGTGTGAAGTACATCAGTGGGATAATTACTATACTATTATTCTTGTGTGTTTTACTCTGATTAGATTATACTTGAGTTGGGTTCTAAGTAAAGAGGTCTAGTATTTTTATTTTTTTATTTTAACAATCTCTCTGTTATCATCCTAAATCTACAAACGAAGACCCTTAAAGGTGTAAATCCAAGGTGTGTGTGGATGTGTGTTTTTGCCTCGGTGTTAAAGGAAGTTATCAGTGTTCTCCACTCTTTTATAGACTATATCTACCGAGGTGATAGTGCTGTTACACCAATGTTGATTAGATTATGAATCCCTGGAAACACACACCCACAACCCACCCCCCTCACCAACACACACACACATGCACACAGTGGTATTTTACAATTCTTATTGACACTTAGCTTTCACTTCCATTAATTTCCCATTTAAAAGGCCAAACCCAGACCTTTGCCATCACCCTAAAAATCACCAATACAATACTAACAATACAATATTGACCTAAACTCAGTTCACTAACCCCCAGCCAAGATGAGAGAGAGCTTTTCCTCACAGGGACCAGCAGACTGGTCCCCACAATGTTGCACATTCCTGGAAATTGGCATTTAATGTTCACACAATGTAACAAACAGATGCACAAACAAGTATGCACCCTAAAAAGAAAATGCAGCTCCAACTTAGAATAATTGCTTCAATTGATAACTAATAATTGAATAAAGTTTCCCCAACTTGATTTATTTCATTTTATAAGTTTCAGCTTTTAAACTTGAAAAAAATAAGGTGGATAAACTGGATTCAATTGCTTTTTGCCCACTGAAGCAAATCGTTAAAGTTGGTGCTGCATTTTCTTTTTAGAGTGTGTACACAGCTGAGAAATAACGTCTGAGGTAGAAGAAGCTGGTCAATTAAATCTCCACTTTACTGCTGTTTGTGTATTATTGTGATAAGTTCATAAGCAGAGAAGAGATAAGTAAGCTGTACTAAGGTAAGAATTCTTAGCTCCTGGCCCCACCTTTTTTTTGTGTTCATGACCCAATCAGACCACATTATAGGCCTGTTATTCCAGGGATCTCCCCTGCTTAGTATGTGAGAGTTAAATGAAACAGAGACAAGAAAACAGAAACAAAGGAAAAAAGGTAGCTCAACTGGAAGCAGGAATGAAATATCCTCCAGCTCCTCAAAGTAAACCTCTCTTAGACATGGAGGTGGCCAACTACTGCGAAGGCCTGGATCCATCATACAGCACTCTAGGCTTTGAGAATGCAGAGGTTCTTTATGCAGGAGGAGGTAAGTGAGCTTTTATCCAGACACCTGAACAGAGAAATATCATTAAACTGTCCATCTTGTTTGTGAAACTGTAATGAATAAGCTCCTGTTTAAACATAACGGAGCCATAGACTCATTCATCTTTTTAGTATTGACTTTATGGATGCATGGCAAGCTATCGCTCCTCACGCATACATTATTATGACATTTCTTAGAAAAAGGTTAACCTTATGCGACGTCATCACATTCAAAAATTGCTAAGGAAATATTTTTCCAAAAGGTATTTACAGATGAAGAGACACTAGATAAAAAATAGCTGTTTTTTTTCAAAGGTGAACGGTTTTGCTTTCAGATTAATTTAAAGAACTTGGGGAAATTTATACCAGTCAATAAATTGATTTAGTTGTGTTCTATTAGCTGACAAAGTTGTTTTTTTTCTACATTATTAACCAAGGATATATATCTGCCTTATGTGTACTTACAAAGTAATTTTGTTTCGGTTTTCTTTGTGTTGTAACTAATCCGTTTGGCTTTTTATGCTTCACACTGAAATCAAAATTGAAGAAAAGTAGAACTGAATCTTTTGCTGAGAACAGTTAAATTTATATAAATTCCACCTTCATATTTTGATGGAAAAATGCTACGTTTAGCAAAAAAAAAAACAACTAATAATGTATTTGATTATATAATTTAGGATACAGTATCCCACTCCTCTTTCTCTGGTTTACTGTTTTTTAATATTTGTATTTTTCTTTTATATACTAACACTAAAAAGAGGAACACTGGGCTGTGGTTATTAACGAATAATTACCACAATCACTTAGTTGGTCCTTGTCTTTTTTTTCTGTATAACCATAAGAGTTCAAGACATGTTTTTGATAAGTAATGTTCTTAATATTTATTAATCAAACACTTTGATAAGTTTTTATTGTATTTATATATCTTAAATGACTTATACCATGAAAACCTTAATGATAATAAATGCTTCATAAAGCAAGATAAATAGAAAATAACCCAAACAAGTGAAAACTGACAGAATTGGTGGGAAGTATTAGGTTGTCTTTGATTTGAGGCACACAAATGACATCAGAGAGTGTCGTGCCTTTGCTAAAATACGCCCAATTTATGATGTTTTATTTCGGTGTGAGGCACCGGGCGGAAGACTCAGTGTAATGTTGCTCTCTACGAATCACCCAGCCTTTGTTGTCTCAAACACCTATGGTACACAAGAGCCACAGCCTTCTTCCAGAGTAGTTTTGTTAGAGATCTAAAGAGTTTTCTACAACCTATTCTTTCAATCTATTCTTTCATCAGTGCAGTTTTTGGCTTTATGCCTCTTTTTTCCATCTTCTGCTGAATCGATCAAACAACTCACTGATTAATCCACTTTAAATGAGGCTCTCACATCTTGCAGTCTTCATTAAAAAAGACAAGTACAGTAAAAACATTAAGCAGTTGGAGACGTGAGTCATAAATATAATTTAATAAAGAGTAAGAACACTCCTCAGTGATGTCACCTTAGTTTTTGATTTGAGAGTCAAACATTAACTCATGCATTGTTAGTGTATCCCACAGTACAACTAAGGGAGACATGAACATCAGAACATATTTCTCATCAAGGTATACTTGAATATATATAAAATATCTTAACTGTGTATAATAAACATTTATAGAAACATTTATGTAGTACTAATCAGGATAAACACAGCTTCAGTTACATTAATAAATGCTAAGACACCCTGCTGACTGCCATTATATTGCTTAGCACTTCAACAACACATATATACACGTATATAAACATTATTTAAGAACATTCTTGCATGCTATTATCCTAAGAACAGTTCTTACTATGGCTTTAAGCGTGGATATGTTGAGAATGCTGCAAACCAGTAAAACAAAACCATATGTACTATATGTGCTACTATACAATGCTTATTATGGTTAATTTGTTTGAAATGTTATCATAGTAATGTACAAATGTGTAGAAATATGAACATTTATATGACGGTGTGTTGCAGACAGCATGCCAACAGAGCCAAGCCAATCTGGTCCGGATGGGTTGAGCACTAATTGTGCAATCTGTGGAGACAAAGCTACAGGAAAGCACTATGGGGCCTCTAGCTGCGACGGCTGTAAAGGTTTCTTCAGACGCTCAATACGAAAAAACCATGTGTACACCTGCAGGTACGGACAATCAGTGAATACCATATAGGCACATGTGGAAAGTGTACAATTCAAAACCTTTTTTTTTTTTTTTGCATGTACAGGTTCAACAGACAGTGTGTGGTTGATAAAGATAAGAGAAACCAATGCCGTTTCTGCAGACTCAACAAATGCTTTAGAGCAGGCATGAAAAAAGAAGGTAAGATGACAAAAATGACACTTTTTGTAGCTCCTGACATTTATTAGAAAGAATGAAATGCGTAATAAAAATAGAAACAGAAGAACTAGAAAAAGCCCACGTTCGGCATAAAGAACTATTGGTTCTGTGGGGGGAAAAATGTTTATCATGGACTCTCAAAGCCTCTTGAAAATAATCGAAATTGGTTTAACTGTAAAGGAAGTGATGACATTGTGTGTGTGTTTGTGTGGTATGTGTATTTATGAGGGTTATAACCTTGGCACAGAATTTTATGACACCTAATCCTGTGATTCTGAAACATGTTGTTCTGGTTAAAGTTTTACTTCTGTTGCTGATCCCAGCATCTACAGTGACTTTCCTAACTATTAACCACAGTAGTGTCTGTTATCTTTTCCCTTCAGGACCCCACCTTAACTTTTCACACAATAAATTATTCTCAGCCTAAATGTTAAAATCACTACATTAACATTTGTAAAATTAGATATAAAAGCTACTTTTGTGAAGCCTATTTCCATTCCTCTTGTTCTACTTTGTCTGTTTTCATTCATACACATGAAAACTTTGTCTCTTATATCTCAGCTGTACAGAATGAAAGAGATCGGATCAGTTCCCGAAGAGCCATCCCAGATTCCCAAGACCTTCCACCGATTACTATCTTGGCACAGGCAGAATCATTATCCCAGCAAGTAAGAATAATAATATAAAAAAAAAAAAATAATAATAAAAAAAATATATATATATATTTATATTTATATGCTCCTCGGTTTTAATAACTAAATGTGTGAAATGTGTGTGGTATTTTTATATTATTCCCTGTGTAAACGCTTTGTCAAAGTCCCTATTTCTAACTATAGCTGCAAGTCTTTTGTATGTTCCAAATACAATGCTAATAAGGAGCCTGAACATGTTTGTCCATTCATTTTTGCAAAATACGTAGCTCTCACGTAATCTCACTCGCATTGCACTGAAAGTGTCTCTAAGCAGAAGTGTTCTAGTCTTGCCATAGATTCTGAATGAAATTTGCTGCCTGAATTAAAATGAAATGTACCAACAGATGGCTATGCTTTGATCTTAATTACTTTACTGTAGCGCTGGCTCTATGTTTGCATATTTTAAGTTTCTGCCAGCCATAATGTTTGCAAGTTGACTGAAAGCCTGGTGTTGAACAGAGCAGTTTCTTTCACATGCTTGTATCTCCTATGGGATAATTTTTATTGGTTTTCTCCTTCTTGTTCTCCCACAAAGGGCGATTTGTGCTGCGAATAATTGTCTCCTTGATAGATTCTCACTCTTGAGCTTTGCTGCAGCTTCTCCAGTGTTAAAATGGTCATCTTATCCTCTTCTAAGAGCTACTTGTCCAAATTGTTAACTAAAGTGGTTACAGCAGAATTTTTTTTTTTTTACTTTTTTCTGCGTTTTCATTCTGTTTCTCAACTGTGCATCATTGAGTGAAGTAGAACATTAGATATTTATGTATAAAACATCAATTATGTTAAGAAACTACTATTTGTGTTTGGTTTTTCTACAGATTATCACTCCTGTAGGACTTGCAGATATATCGAAGGTGAAATCAGCCACCATAGGTGATGTTTGTGATTCTATGAGGCAACAACTCTTGGTTTTGGTGGAATGGGCCAAATATATACCTTCCTTTGGGGAATTGCCACTGGATGATCAGGTAAAAAAAAAGAAAAAAAAAGATTTATATGAGCTTTAGCTGGAATTAGATCTGCTTGTACTTAGTCATAATCCAGTAATGATAGGTCATAAATCAACACACAAAAACAAATACACAAGAACGAATTTAGAACCTATAAATTCATCAGAAAACATTTCTTTTTAGGTCTTATTTAGCTTTACCTTTTTGGGTATAAAAAAATGGACTTTAGGTAATGCAGCATAGCAGTAGCCAGTAGGACTATGTTGTATGCCCTAAAACTCAATCAGTGAGACAAACAATACAGTGCTTAGTACTATATAATGAGTATTTTGTTATAAATGCTCTAAAGAAAAGAGAGCTCTTTGTATTTTTTACTGTTAATTTGGCCTATATTTATGTCTTTTTCCAGGTGAGCTTGCTCAGGGCTCATGCAGGTGAACACCTCTTGCTCGGGGTTGCCAAAAGGTCAATGCCATTTAAGGACTTCCTCCTTTTAGGTAGAAAATGACCACTGCATGTCTTTTTTTTCCCTCTACAAAATGGTGTAACCATGTGTGTCAGGACCTCTATATTAGACTTGAGAATGATTAACTAAAGCTTTCATTTTGTTTTACATGTCACTTCTAAGGTTATACTTTGTAAAATGAAAACATCATTAATTACGTAAACAATATAGTGAGTACACAGTTGTCATCTACAAACACTTAAGCATATTTTCTGCATTATTATACATCTTGGTTCTTACAGATTACTATTTAACTTTTCAATAGGACCTTTCAAGCTATAACAATTCACACACACACACCAGTGCCCAACCCATACTTGCTCAAATACCTTTCTATCCCAGTCAACTCCACTAACTGTCCACTGTTCCTGCAGGTAATGGCTGTGTGATACACAGGAACAGCCCCGAGTCGGAGATTTGCAGGGTTGCAAACAGAATTTTAGACGAGTTGGTCCAGCCTTTCCAGGATATTCAGATAGATGACAACGAGTATGCAGCTCTAAAGGCAATTGTCTTTTTTGATCCAGGTAAGAAATAAATACAAACCATGAGGCATCATCTGTAATGATTTGAAAATTTTATTTATTCTAAGGATAAATTACACACAGGTCGACTAGTTTAACCAATATTTTTATTCCAAATGCAGGTGGTCACTCTTGATTAAAATTTTTTTCAGAAGTCCTTCCACTTCTGAATTATACACACTTTTATAGGTCTATAATATTAAACACAAATATATACATTTAGGTTTATTAATTATGATTTAGTGTTTTATTTTTTGCATTTTTCATGGGAAATTTGAGGGAATTGCAGAGTATGTTTGATGTTTCTGCATTTTGTGCCACTAGATGTCACTGCATATTGCTTAGTGGATCTATGCAGCAAAAACATTGATGTCTTCTAATCCTGTAAAGAACTTAAAATGTAATAAAACATGAAAAAAGACATAGCTTTATATTCAGTATGAAACTGAAACAAGATGTAAATAAATGAATATCATTCAATGAGTGTACAGCTTTACAGGTAAATAACAAAAAAGGAAGCATTCCTGATAGTTTTACAAAAGTCCATTTTTTATTTCAGTTTTATGTTTCCTCTTATAGATATATTCTTATCACTATATTTCCTATTTATGAGCACTATCACTGCCCTGATCTTATATAACCCATTTTTCTCTCCTGTAAATCCCCTAATTTTCCCTCCGTGCACCAGTTTAACTATAATCGTTCTATCAGTTCCACTCGTAGCCTTGATTTTATCCCCACTATTTCGTTTTTTTCCTCTCTCTCAGTCCTGTCCTCCCCCACCTCTATGTACTCTACCAGTCTTTTTAATTTTTTTCTTTCCAATCTCCAGATGCTAAGTCTTTGCGGGACCCTACCAAAATAAAGACAATGCGTCTTCAGGTAGGTCAACTTTTTAATCTTCAGAATTATTGTAAGACTGCAGCTTAGTGTATTGCATTTTATAGGGAATTTTAACATCAGTATGAAGGACATATCTTTTGCATGCATTTTACTTTACACATTGAAAGCATTGCTTTTGAATTCAAGCATAAATGTGGAGGTTACTACTAGCGAATGGTGTTTACTGTGTGTGTTTGCAGGTTCAGATGAGTCTGGAGGACTACATTAATGACCGTCAGTATGACTCCAGGGGTCGTTTTGGAGAGCTCTTACTCCTGCTTCCCACCTTGCAGAGCATCACCTGGCAGATGATTGAACAGCTCCAGTTCATTAAGCTCTGTGGCCTGGCCAAGATAGACAACCTGCTGCACGAGATGCTGCTGGGAGGTAGGGCTGGGCAAGTGATTGCGCATGTAATTCTGTACACAAATAAGATGACCTTCAGCAAAATGACTGCTGGAACCTCTGAGGGGGTGAATGTGGGGAGCCACATTGAGAGATTGTAGGCACAGAAAAGTATACTCACTCAACAAAGTTGCCTAGGACATGTAAATATATAAACAAAAACAAAAAAAAACAGTGCAGAAGAACGGTGTATCTTTGCATAGCTCTCATGTATAATAGGCAAAGCAGAAATAGACCTACTTTGTCGCACAGTTGGGATACGAGGGAAATTTGCACACATATCTAGATGTGTATAAATAATAAGCTAGAAAGCATCAGATATATATTTTAAGGAAGGCTATGTCATCCAGTTGAAACATCATTTGAAGTTTGATGTAAAAAGTCATCTGAAAAAAACAAAAAAACAATGGTAGAAAAAACAAAAAAAACAAAACCTCATGGATATAAAAACCTGACTTAGATGACAGTGTATAGGAAGAGAGGTGTTTTCTTGTCAGAATTTGGAACGACCTCCAACAAGAACTGCAACTAAAACAACAAACTTTATCCTATTCAAATATTGTTGGAATAATATTATTTTTAGATCTAAGATATGCAGGTTTTAATGGTGCATTTTACTGTTAACAGTTAAACACATAAGTATTTTATCATAAATAAATAACATCTATATTAGGATTGCATTTTCATTGCCTTGCTACAGTATCTATACTCTTTGATCATTCCCCCAACAAAGACATGGAGAATGGTGAAATGGACATACTCTATACTTTGTAATGTTTTTCAAGAAAAATAATCCGGCATGCATTTCTATTCAGGCCTCCAGGCCGTGTACCAAACCCACTTATCGCCACACTTACAGCTGGAAGTTGTTGAGGTTGAACTTTAAGAGAAAGGATATTTTTTTTCTGCTCCTCCTTTAAAAGTAGTTCAAAGTTCAGCCAAACTGTATCGAGTTTCTGTGAACATCAATTTTAAAGTCTTGCCGCAGATTTTCATATGGATTTCAGTCTGAACTTTGGATTTTCCACATAAAAACTGCTTCCACCGCAAAGTTTCGCTTTGGGGTTCTAGAGATAAAGAAGTATTTGTTGAGGTCATTGGACATGTCTTTCTAGATTTGCAGTTGTAAAATACTTTATTTTCAGATGGTTGCCAAAAGATGTTCCGATCTTGGGATATTTTTTAAAGCATAGCCAAGCTTTAAACATCTTCAGAATCTAATTCATGGGTCCAGAATAGTTCTTTTTGTTTTTGCAAAGGAAAATAGGGTTTGAGCTTTGATGTAACAAGCTTACAAAAGCGATGAATGTGAGTTTGTTGACCTGAATAACGAGGCTGACAGTGAAATATTTAGCAAGGTGCTTATTCATCTGCTTATGTACATAGCAAAGAAACAGAAAGCCAAATAGATATGCTTTTTTATGTGATATATGTTCAGGGCTCACAACAGAATCCAGCCATCTTCATCACCCAGCACACACCCAGCTGGCCCAGGACCCTGTGACAGGACACACCCTAGTCATCAGCAACATGCCAGTCACTCAGATTCCACAGATAGGTAAAGATTTAAAGAACAAGTGTCAAAAAATGCTAACAACCCCAAAAATGACTAAATATTCTTAAATTTCTTCATGCCTTTCTTTCATTCTGCAGCTTCACCTGAGACTCCCATGCCATCCCCACCACAGGATCCTGCCACAGAAATGTACAAACGTTTTCCTCAGCCTCACAATGCTACTGCCAGCCCTCCACCGTCCACAAAAGCAGAACCCTGACTCCTTCCTATATCATATCGAGGAGTTTCTTAGAGGATCAGTTTTCTCCTTGTCTGTAGTTTATTATAGTGATGCAAAAGCACTCCTTATTCAGTAGGTGTCTTAAAGACTTCCCACTGCCTATTCCCAGTGTTGCTGTTGGTATTGCGGCAACAATGGCCTTGGAATAATTGGCTGCTCTTCAAAAGTAAGCTTTTATTCAAATTGAAACCATCACAAGTCTACATGTTTCAACAAGAGAGCAGACACAGGGGCTTCGGCTGTAATGATCAGAGGGCACAGAGCAATTCAGGGGCTCATTTAGGCTCCAGCTGATGCTCTAACCTGCTCAGACCACTCGGATCATTTCCATAGTCATCTCACAGCGGCAGGGATGATGTGTGTGAGTAAAGTATAATGACGGCACAGCAGTAACTTCATTATTCGAACAGCCCGACATGACAACAAGCTCAGTCATCTGAAAAACTTTACGTAAACTGTATCGGAGCAACTACTGCTTACCTTTTACAGGTTTAAAAGACAAACCTTCAGCAATGAAAAAAGGAAAAATTATCTTATTTTACCCATTACATCTTTGATTGAATGGATTGAATGGAGTAGAAAATGGAGAAGAATAAAGGAATAAAAATTATTCTGAGTGAAAGTCATAATAACATGTATTACATTTAAAGCAGAAATCTCCATTTGGCCATGTTTAAATTATCTTAATAAATATTTGATCATCTACCTTTTACTCCAATGTGCCTTAAAATAAGGGAAGCACAGGAGTGTCTCAGCAGTAGAGTTTTTTCAGATGATTTGATTGACAGTAAATATCAGAGGAGCTGTTGTTACCCACAGCCAGTCTGCCTCTTTGACTTCTTTGTGCAGCAAACCTAATTTAATTCGGATTCTGACTTGACCCAACCCATGACTAAAAATGCTCTCAGAAATGTATGCAATTTAGTTTTGGAAAAAAGCAAAATAAAACAACAGTTTAACATGGAACAGAGCATTAGAAACAGTTAAAAATAAATATGGATAAAATAAATCATAACAGATTATGCAGCCCTTATTGGTAAATTATTCTTCTTTTTTCATTCTGTCAGGTAAACAGCACACACAAGAGACTAGCTGCTAACAATAGAGTCAATTTTCTATATAATTATACTAATAGCATAATATATGGAGCAAAAATTCTGTACAGTTTTTAAGGATACTTTTTTATTTTATTTTTTCATATCTCAATGTAAATAGTAGCACCCAGTTTGAATCAGATGCAATGATATTCCTGCTGCTGCATCACCATTTCAGTGACTGTCTATTTTGATATACACAGCCAAGTTAAAATAACCTAAGTTCGGGTAAGAAACTGCTGCAGTACATTCCTTTTTCGGAAATTGGATTGTCACAATTTAACCTTTTGTTCATTTGTTTCCTTTCCACTGTTTGAATCCACTATATTTACACAGACAAGTGCACCCGGTTTTCTTTGTTTTGGTGTTTAATGATGATAAACAGCAATCAGGGATTGTGCCCATATTCCGTCTAAATATGAAGCTATGATTTTTGTTTTGTTTCATGGAGTTTAGCACACTAAGGTAACTGCAAGTTTGAGGAAATTGACCATCTATTTTTAGATTTAGGGTTGGATTAGTCCTTCGTTTTTTATGGATATTACTGCTCTTTATACACATGGGATTAAAATACAAATCATGTTATAAAATTTTCTGCTTAAACAGGGATTTTCTATTTAAGTAGATTTGATCTTGATAAAATATTTATGTCTTATTAGGAAGATTTTTGTTTATCAATTTATCGCATATCGACTGTATATAGGCTACATATACATTTAAACTGCATGTAAACATCACATGTATCAGACTAAATTATTGAAGCTGTGTTTGAAAACAGAATCATGTAAACTTAAAAAATAAAATTCTGTTGTTTCTATTACAGTAATTCTTGAGTTATGAACATAAATAACTTACAGAGTGCTACATAAATGTTGCTTTTGACTTTAGCAGCTAATATTTCCCACAATGAGTTAGAGGCAAAGAAAACAAAAAGGTAAGAAATATTACTAATTAAGTCTTAAATGCAAAATGAAAATATATTAACTTTAAATAAGCAAACTCATTTAATGTAAATTCATATCTGATCACTTTTCAATTAAGCTCTTCAGATTTATTATATTGTATTTAAGTTTTGTAAACAATTCCATTTCCAGCATGAACCACTGATTATAACAACCTCCTAGAATTATATTTTTATGGTAATTAATAGTTGATGTTTTGTATTGATGTGCCAGATATTGTAAAAGATTCCTTTTCAGAGACTAAAGTAGTTGCATAAAGGAATCTGTCTTAAATTTGGGAACATTGTTTTACTGTTTCAAATATAATGTTGAAAGTTTTTAAACAAGAACACCAGTGCAGGCTTATTTCAATTAATGTAACAAATATTTTTTTTTGTAATTTACCTTGACTTAATAGTAATGTGCTTGGGTAAAAAATATTATCGAAGAGAACACTGCATAGAAGAAAGCAGATGGCGGCTAATTCTTTCCCAAGCAGGTAATGGCTTCAAAAAGTATGTAAACATGTCTCTATTGCTTTCAGAGAACTGATTATTAAGTTAAAACATCCAGAACTGTGACAAACAAAAATGAATGGGGACCCACATTTATCCCCTAATAACACACAGTGAATCAGGATGATATGGGAGGTTTAACAAAATCTTCAAACACAAATAAAAAAAAAAAAAAAGCAAATGTTGGAAACTTTGGAATGAATATGTGAAAAAGATCTGTGATGCTCTTGGCCATGCCCCAAGAAATGTAACAATCAGGCCATGTTTATTTCCGGATCACACATAGTGAGCAAGATGGTGAGTGAGGTAAAAAATAAAACAAACAATGCTATCTTTTAGAGAAGGCTTTTTCCATTTCGGGCGTTTTATAATGTTCACCTTCATAAACTGTATTATCTATTTTCATAAGAAAAAAAGGTTTATAGATAGATAGAAAAACAGATTAGTGTTGCTTTTCTTAAATGCCACCCACATATTCAATACTTGATTTTAAAAGAAGAAATAATCAAGGCAGAAAGATGATGACAAATTGACAGAAATGTATTTCAAAATGCTCTCCTCACATGCTATAATACACCGTATGGTTTGTCTATTATTTTGCGCATGGAAGCCATCACACACCGCCATAGCCCCATTGGTTCTGGATATAGACTTTGTATACAAAGCTTTGCTGGTGTGCAGTTGAGACCTCACTGCCAGACGTTACTGTTCATCTCAAATCAAATCATATTTCCCTCCTGCCCATTTGATAAAAAAAAACACACTTGGCGACAGGCATGGAAACCAAACTCGAACATAAAATGGTCATTTATACTGGAACAGGCCCAATGTTTAAAATCTGGGATTTCGTTTACATCAATCCCTGCACAATCATTCTCTGTCATTTTCTTTGGATTTATGTTTATGTGCGAGCTTTGGCTTGCGACGGATGAGATAGAAGGATAAAGCTGAGAGCTCTTATGCAGTGTATATTGCTATGTGACTAGGAAAAAAAAAATCTTGGTATTTATGGCAGAGGAGATGATGTTGTCTAGAATCAACATGACCAAATCCTTCTATCAACTCCATAATGGACAAGCTACCTGGCTTAGGTCAAAAAAACACCACCTACAGTGGGGAGATGTGTGTAGGTGCATATACAGTACGTGTGCATGCGCCTACCTGCAATTTATTTATAATCTGAGAGTCTGCATGTACACACACTTTCACAAGTGTGTGTTTGGAAGTGTGTCCATGTGTGTGTACCCAGAGAGCTTTAATCAAAGGCCTATACTGAGGAGATGTGGGGGCCTGTCTCTCTCCTTTCCCTCAGATAAAACTGAGTGTTAGCATGCCAGTCACATATCTCATCTGAGACGCGCCGCTCTCCTCCACACACCTCACTGCGGCCCACACTGACAGCACGCTATTACACACCAGTATGATGCTTGCTTCACCTGAGGAGGATGGCAAGGAGGAAAAGATGGAGGGATAAAAGAACAAAGGATGGACAGAAATATGAAATATCTTTTTTTAATTTTTTACTTTGCCTGGTTGATCATAGGTAGGATTTATTAACAGTTATATTGTCTGAAAAGATCCCAATCATATATCTGGCTGAAGGTAGCAGTGGTTTTTACTTATTTTTTCCATCTTCAGCCACTTTGAGAGTCTTCTTCATCTTTGAAGTAATCTAAACCTAATTGTTAAACATATAACTAAATGAACCTCTACTAGTAAGAGATGACTATCATGATAATTTAGTGAGTACCAGCACATTTTGCAACTTTTCTGTACATATAATCTTGTATAAAGAATTATGTAGAGTGTAAAATATGACCAAAAAACATTTATTTCCATTTCTCAATACACCCTAATTAAAATAACTATTTCTGATATCCACTAGATGGCAGTGCATGTCAATGATTGGTAGGTAACATGGCATATTAATGGCTTTTATGTTCTTTGTCAATCAACTTTGACCTAATATATAAATGAATAAATATTCAATGTAATATGTTGGCTACAATTGTCAAACACAAGAAGATTCAGTATACATACCAGTTATGAAAAAAAAAAGAAACAAAAGACAAGGAAAACGATTTGTCATTTGAATTGTGCAACTATTAATTTAAAAGAAAAGGATCCTAATTGGTAGTAATATATTTATGATAAATGTTCAATATTTGACACATTTTAAAGCCTATATATAGAGAGAATTATTTAAAATGTTGCAAAGTCACTTGTTTTCTCTGTGCTTCACCAAACAATGGAACACTGCAACGGTCTGAAGTAAATGGCATGTGACAGCGACCCCAGATTACAGCCAGAGATCGCAGACTATCACTCCCTGCCACTGCATTTACCCAAAATTCCACCTATGTCTCCAACATATCCAATGATTCCTCCTCCAGGAGACAAGGTGAGATGGTATGAATCTCTACCTCCAACTATTGGAGTGAATTTAAAAACCTCTCCTGAGTGATTTTCTGTGTCTCTGTCCTGCGTCTTCGTATGGCTTGAATCAATGTGTGGTTTCTGATTACAACACAGAACGGGTGAAGGAAGGAAAACAGGGCGACAGCTTCATTTTAAAAGCTGAGTTCACGTAAATGAGGGATTAAAGCAAGCGGCAGGGTTGAGGGTTCGCTTCGACGTTCGGTGACAGCTTTCCTTCCTTAAAATCCTTTTTCTTCTTTTCTCTGACTACACCTTCAGTTTAACCATTCTGTCTGTTCTATTTATTTTACGATTCTTTTCCCTTTTTTGGTTGTCTTGTTACAACTCCTTTTACATCCAGAGATAATCCATGCAGATAGGCAAAGGTAAAAACTGCTTACTGAACAGTTGGCTACACACATACATACACTGTAATTTACATAGGTGCAGGGAGCTAAGGTGTACTGTGCATTATGTTGATGGGGAAAAGGTTAGAGCAATGAAATTAGGGGTTAGGGCCATGAGTGTGTGTTTGTGTGTACTTG